TCACAATAACAGGGATACTCTACAAAGAGGAAAAAAAAATCAAACATTCTGAGGCTAATTAAAAAAAAAAGCTACGGTTACAATGTGCAGGTAAAATGAGAAGGTTGAGTAAGAATGCAAACATAGTGGCAAACATGTACGTGGAGTCAAAAGTGGAATGTGTCATAGGTGAGTCAAGTGTGCAGTGCTGCTTCATGTGGATCTGAACCCCATTTGGGTTGTAGAGATTTGTCAACAAGAGATCGAAGAAGGAAAACCAGTTGGGCAGGGGTCAGTACTTGAAGTAAAAGCATGTGATACACTGTAAGAAGTACCAAAAGTCAGTATTTCTTGGGAATGTTTCAGAATTTGGAACTGTTAGAGGTAAAAATAACATAAATATTTTCTCTGATAAAGCTTTTTGTCCTTTTGACAACCTTGTAGTATGCATTGGTATATGTGAGTGTTCTGGCTAACTGGCATCAGATAGAAATAAATGAAACTGGTCTTAATCCTGCCCTTACTTTCCTCTAAGCGACTGCATTCATTTGGCCACTAGGCTGGCAGTATCTATTACAAAGTGCATGTTGTTGCCTTGGAAAAGATGCATGTTCAATTTCTTAGAGTATTCCAAGTCCTAACAAGACTAACCAGTATATAACTTTGGTTATATAGAAAAATATTCCAGCCCATAGTCAATGGAAAATGTCCAAATTTTGTGAAACCAATGATACCACAAAACTGTAGTCTCTTCTCTGACTATGAGCTAATCTGCTAAGAATGGCATCTTTGGTTTTACAGACTGCTGACTATAGTGACTTTGACTTTCAACTAGTTACTCAATTGATAAGTAGCTTTCTCTCTGTCCCCTGCTTTACTTAGTATGGTAGAACTTCAATACTATATGTGGGAAAAGGCTTTTCAAAAAAACTTAATTTGTTGTTCTCTAGTAGATGGAATGCTCAAAATGCATGATCTGGCTGTACTGACTCCTACATTTGAAGTTCAGTTTTTTGTTTTGTGTTATATTTCAATTTCCCTGTCTTTAAACTGTTGGTAATATTACTGCTTTGATTGAGCTCTAGAGTAAAAATTTAAGAGCTAGGTATTATAGTTCTTTTTTTGTCATTTAAAAATAATATCTCTTCTTTACATGGTGTAATTTCCATTGATGAATTTAACCATAGATTATTCAGCCATGCTTTTCCTGTGTTGTTATTTCCATGATGCCATAAACTAATGAATACGGTATTCTCCACATGCAATAACCAGCTGCAAAATTGATTTTAATGACAATGGAAAAATGTCAATATCACTGGAAAATGTTTTGCCTGCGGAAGCAGCTGCCCATGAGCTCACCCTCTGGAAAATATCCCGATGGTTTCACATCTTTGAAAGCCTTTTCTGTGCACAGTAGCACAAATGTAAGCCAACGTTTGAAAAGCTAGTGGTTTGTGTTTTCTTTGGCATAGTGCAAATCTGAGTCTTTCTTTTCAGAGGCAGGTCTTGAAGTCTTTTGCTGAGAGGAATGATTTTGTATTTTCTCTGAGCAAAATAAATTGATTCTTATCTATCCCTATCATCACATGATGTATATAGGAAGTTCACAATGAAGGCATACAGAAGTGGGACAGGCTGTAGTCAGACCACACTAGAGAGAACACACGCTCTGCCTGGTGGAGAGGTGATTTATTCTCGGTTGTTTTTTTTTTTAAACAGTCAAGTTCAAGTCATTTAATAGGATATTTAATAGGATATTCAGTTCACTGACAGACTTAGCAGAGACTGCTAGTTTTCCTGCAAAGCTGGAGAGATAGAGAGATGTGGAAATTAGGTAATGCTTCAGGAATGCTAAATGGAAAGAGCAATACTATTTGTTTCTAATGTCGTGTTAAGATGGCAGCAAGCGCCACTTGCCAGCAGCAATAACACCTTTATAGTTACCAGTAGATAGTATACTGGGGAATTAACTGTGATCTTATAGGTATAAATTATTACCCACAGTGAAAATACAAAAGTAACTATGTTGGCCTACTCACCTAATTTTCTTAAGTGAAAATTTTATTTTTCAGTTTGCAGGTGTGTAGACACAGATGAAATATGCTGCTGTAAGTTAATTAATAGGACAATACTTCAGGTGTAAAGACCAAACTCAGTCACTCCCTCTTCCACTGAGTGTCATTTAATAGTCAGATACATTTTCAATAATGGTACTGAGTTCTGTCATTCTAGAGGTAGAAGTGCATAGAAATGAAAACTGACAACAAATTCAGAATGTTTTTTAGCAAGCAGTAAATCCCCCAGATTTCTTATAAGCTTAAAGTGTTAAGGTAGTCCGAGTCATATGAGTCTCCACTTTATAAACTGCAAGTGTATCTGTAAGAATTATTATCTCCTCAGGAGAGAGCAGTTTTAACATGGGAAGAAATATTTTTAGATTTTTCTGAGCCAGTGAAGGAGGGAGGCTAAACTAGACTGTAAAACTTGACCTGATTTCTAAGCATCTTTTTTTTTTTTTTTTTCTATTCCAGAGAGGTAAAGGCAGTTGGTTTATGTGTTGTTAATCCGACTATATTCCACTCATTTATAAGGATTAAATATATATTTTTTTTTCTGGTGAGATTCTGAAATTAAGTGTCCATTGGAGCACTCTTTACTGATTCACGGACAGAATAGATGAAGATGCAGTCTTCTGTAGCCCATGCTGGATGGTCTGTGTAAGATCGGGAGACAGCTTAGTTATAACCTTATGTTTTCTCAGCAAAACATTAACAGTTTAGAATGAATTGAATTTGTTATTGCTTTTCACTGCTTCTGTGTCTGTTTCTTCATTTTTCTATGATAGTTTGTATAATTTGTTTATCTACTACTCCCTAAGCAATTGAAGGATTTTCCAGAATGCATGCACAGATAGGCTTAAATGAAGGAAGTAAGGTAGGTGCTTACAACCTGGCTGATGCTGGACGTAATCCGATGTGTGCCCCAATTAACTTTTTACTTATCAGCTTGTCAGATATCTGCAAAATCAGATAAAGAGCAAGCTAGTGAGAAAAAGTCTTGCAAGAGACCTCCATAAAGACACTGGAACAGATTGCCCAGAGAGGCTGTAGATGCCTTCTCCCTGGAAGCGTTCAAGGCCAGGCTTGATGAGGCCGAAGGCAGCCTGGTCTAGAGGGAGGTGTCCCTGCCTATAGCAGGGGGGCTGGAACTAGATGATCTTAAAGATCTCTTCCAACTCAAACCACTCTGTGATTCTGATCCTAATTGACAGAGAAAAGTTAGTGCAGATCCAGCAGATAGTTCTTGAGATTTGTAGAATTGCACAGCAAGTCTGAGTCTGAACTATAAGACTACATATTAATGAAGTGTCAGGTGAACTCAACATGTGAAGGAGATTGCGCTTGTGCAGATACTTACTATTTGTGTAAATCTGACAAAATTGCCTGAGCTGTTTTTCATAAACTGTGAAGGAGCAAACTTCAGTAAGCCATGTGGCTTTTCTTGAATTCCATTGACTCTTGTTGCTGATTTGTAACTTATTGCTGTAGATGATAGTAGTATCTAACTGAACGCTAGAGAACACATATAATTATGTTTCGATTTCAGGTAAGAATTTATAGTTTCCCAAATGGAAATCTTACTTTTTTTTTTTTTTTTTTTTTTTTTTTTTTTTTTTTTTTTTTTTTTTTATTTTTTTTTTTTTTTTTTTTTTTTTTTTTTTTTTTTTTTTTTTTTTTTGAATGAGTAAGTTTGAGGCGTACTTATTACCAGGAGATAACATGAAAAATAATTTGTTTTCACTGCATGAACTTAATACGCTTCCAAAGATTATTAGTAATTAATGCAAGCATACTAAAGTTGTTTCAGAGTGGAGTGTGTGTTGCTTAGAGGTGCTCCATTCAATTTATTGTAGTGGCTTTCTCTCATTTTGAAAAAATTCTGCTTGACTAGCACAATTGCATTTCCTGTTGCTTTAATAGTTGGAATTTATTGAGAGAATGTAATGTGCTGAAGCTGGAAGAGTAACTGAGCCAGCTAGCTCTTTTCCTGAAACACTAAGAGTGCTTTTTTTGAAGCAGGGCAAGAAAACATGAGAGGGAAAAAAAAGTCATTAATTATATACATGCTTAAAAAAGAGTGTGAAAAATCTGATATGGAAAATGTGATATGGAAATATGGCAGATTTTTATGCTGTACAAATTATTTTCCTGTTGAGAAGAATATTGCTTTCTTTGTTACGCAAAAAAGAGGCACGAACTTCTCTATTCATCTTATACAATAGTTTAGGAATATATTAGTTTAAGTTTTTACTTTTAGCTGACCCTAAATGTCAGAACAATCCTTTAAAGAAAAGTCAGACTGAGGTAATGTTTTTGATACTGCAGTGATAGCTGCAGTGATCACTGAATAAAGTGCATGTGGTGATTTCTGAAAAACTTTGTTGTGGAAGGGATAAGATGCTTGTCCTACTCACCCTGCAAGGCTGCAGGTTCTGTGTCTGAGACAGTCCTGTATGTGTGAGTTGCAGCACATTTCAGCGCTGTTCTTACAGATTGCAACACAGTTGCACGGAGCTATGATTTTATCATGCATTCCAGAGGAAGTTCTTAGCTGAATTTGGAAGATGGAATGGAAACTAACTGTAAACAAACAAGAAGATACTAGTAGTGCTCTTACTTACACCAGAGAATGTTGGCAGTAGATTGTTTTCACGTGAGAAGGGATCTTCTGAAAAGCGAAAAATGCCAAGTTAAGTTCTCATATTTATTGGTTACGGCTCTGCAAATTTTTCGTAGTAGACATCAGTCTGCAGAAGCGCACAAAAGCAAAACCTGTTCTGTCCCTTTTCTAAAGACATACTATAGAATTATAACACAAGTGGTGACGTTTGAACAGATGAATCCTTTTTTTAATGAACCTAGAAGATGGTGGTGGTCAATAGTTGCTGGCCATTTTGCTCATCAACAATTGTGCAACTTTTTCAGTGTGAAACACCAGATTGATTTATTTGTTTGTTTCAGGAATTTATCTCTTCGACTTAATCTACATTGATTCTGCATATCCTGCTTCAGGCAGCATTATGGAAAATGAACAAAGATCTAATCAAATGAACAATATTCTCCGAATAATAGCTGATCTGCAAGTCTCCTGTAACTATGGTTGGTAATATTTTATTTTTTACTCCTAATAAGTCTTAACTGAAGTGTCTTTAATAACATAAGAAGTTTCTAACCTATGTAAAGGCAACACAAGAGGATAAGAATGGTAGAGTTGAACATTGGACACAGGCAAATGAGCATATATTCTAAACTGTAAGAACTGTAACAGAATTGTGTGGCATTTACTGCTGTGTATGGGCTACAAATGACGTATTTCCAAATACAGCTGACAGTACAAGCAGTAAGTGGGAAATACATCTTCATCTTTCCTTTCTAGTAGATATGTTGTTTTTGGAGTGTGCAATATGTCGATTTTGTTATCATTTTGTTGTTCGTGTCATGATGAAAAGTTTACAGAATTAAATACAAATATTTCAATACAACAGCTGTGAAATTATCTATTAAGCTTTTGTTATACCTCACTTAGTGAGGATGATGATGTTACTTCTGTTTGTTAACAGAATTGTGCTCTGAAATTCATTTCTGCAATTCTAGCCTGTTATGCAAAGCCTCATGTCAAGAAACGTGCTGCCTTGGGGATCTTGACAATACAGAGCATACTGCTGATGATTTAGCATGGACTTTCATTGCTTAAACATGGAACAAGCTAAAAACCTTGAAGTAGCTGTACAACTAAATAAATTTTAAATGCTCCAGTTTGGGAATGTTTTTAATTTAAAAAAAAAAAAAAAAAAAAAAAAAAAAAAAAGGTTAAATCTTAGATTATGAGAAAGTTAGGTGAGATATTGTGTATGTTTAAGTACCCAGCCCTTGTTCTTTGTTGTAGATTTTGATAGAAGATATTTAAAGCTATGGATTAGGCATAATAGTGTATGATTCTGAAGAGGTAGGGTATTTACCTTTCATATTCTTATTGTGACTTCCAATTTGTCTCCGAATACTTTGATAAAAGAAATCTTATCTCACTGACCCCTTCCTTTTGGCAGTGGGGCAACTTCCTACATTGCATTAATTTTAACTGGTTTTGTTAAAATCAGAATGAAAATTAAAACGTGGCCTTGAAGAACCAATCTTATGGAATAATAGATACCTTTATGACACTTGTATTTATGAGAGTGTTAGAGTTCATTCAGATACTACAAGATGTGTTCCTGTTCATGCACCATACACTCAAAGGATTTTTCTGTCTTTCTGAATTTAGCATATTTTTATCTTGATATGCAGCATCATAATTTTTGAAGTTTTCTTACCTCATGCATATGAGAATAATAGCCATTGCTGCAGGCTTCAATTTCTCCCAAAACAATCAGTACAAAATCTAAGCAGGGCTTAAGTAAAAGGAACTCCTTTTCCACTTATGAGATAGCATATGATAAAATCCTCTAGATGCTATGATGATGGCATGCATCTGTTCTGTTTTCTTTAACAACTGAGCATCACTTCTGCTCAATCAAATCTTTAAAATCCTCGTAGAGTCAAAGTAATAATTCTGCCTTATTTATTCTATACGGAAGTTCAGATCCTCTCTTTCCATTAAGATAATCATGAGAATCAGGAAAAAAAAAAAAGGGAATCATTTATTGTGGATAATATGAATATTCATCTTGTTTTAACACTTTATAGAACATCTTACAACACTACCCCATGTACAGAAGTATTTGAAGTCTGTCCGTTACATCGAGGAACTTCAGAAATTTGTGGAAGATGACAATTACAAGTGAGTACTATTCTTTCATTTAGTTTTGGAAAATTTAAAGGAAACAGCATACAGATGTTAGTTTGATTTGTGTTTGAACAAGAAGCTGTTGACGGAAGATGCTGTGGGGTTCGTCTGCAGTAGTTCATATTGTGCTATTAGAGTTGATAATACCAAGATGCCTAATTAATATTCAGAATGATTTTTGCCCTTAATGTAGCTAGTTTTCCAAAAAGAAATAGCTTTTTAAAAGCAGATGAAGGTTTAGTCCTCATTCCACTACATAATGATTATATTCTGGGAATTTTGTTCAGGAACACCGAAGCCATCTCTTAAGATGTCCAGGATTTACTTTATGCTGTTGTAAGTATTACATAAAAGACATCTCCCAAATTCAAATTACTCTTTTTATTAAGCTAGTACTTCAGATATTAACCTGGAAGTTTATGACGTTTGTGAGAAAGACAACTAAAGCAGTGATTAAAAGTAGACAATATAAAGGGTGTTGGTTTTAAAACCTTACAGCTAAGGTTTTAAGTAACTCAATCAAGACAGCTACAATGCTATATGATTACCTATTGATAAATAGAGTACCTCTGTTTAGTTGAGAATTGTTTGAAGTGACCGGATGTTTGGTAATATAACAGTCGTGTATGGATAAGCAGTAGCAGATATGGCAACTTTAAACCAGTTTCAGATCACCCGAGAAAGGTAGAGGTCACAATCTGGTAATAAAGAAGGAAACACCCCTCCTCCACCTGAGGATCAGGGCTCACCAAATAATCCAAAGGAGATGATCTCTGAGTAGAGATGCTACTCTTTAATGTGGTTTAGGGAGGGATGGATCCAGGGCCTGCTACACAGGTTAATTGCTTCACCTGTGTTCCCAGGGCTGGGTACATCCCTTCACCAGGTTCTCATTCACTGGTTCAGGCTGTGACCTAATGGTTCCCATACAGTTGGTGTGGAAGATTGTAAAATATGTTTTAGAGAGAAGGTTATGTTTTTTGAAACTGGTCTTGTTACCAAAGTTATTAAGTACTGCAGCTGATACCTTGACTCAAAATGTGTGTGTACTTAGACCATATGGTAATAAAAATATTGGAAGGGTTCATTGAGGTAGAAGTTGACTGGAACATCACTAAGGAAGCATAATTTAGTCTGATGACTGTAACAGCAGTGACACAAAAATCCTGTAATACTGCTGTGAAAATACAAATGATCTTTACTCTCTATCAAATAGACTATTTCTAGGAAAAATTAAATTGTTAATACGGTTTCACAAAGAAGCCAGTGATACATTACATGGTGTTCTCTATGAATTTCTGGACATCTGCGCAGAATCGACTGTAACAAAAATACCATCATGTTGAGCAGAATAAAGAACAACAGATTTAAGGAAAGCCTGGAAAAACAGAACTTTAGTTAATAGAATCACAGTATATAAATACAGTAGGGTGTAAGGTATCACAAGGATGAATTAATAAAAAAAATTGTAAATGTTGAAGTGTGGTGTCACTATCAGAGTAATGGAATTCTGGAATGGCTTCTTGTGTGGAGGAAAGAGACAAATAACTAAATAAGTTTAAGTTGAAACCTGATCAGTTAATGCAGTGAATATGACCAGTTGGCATCTGTGAAGGCAGAAGAGCAGACTAATTATCCTGTCACCAGTGAGAAGAGACCAACCCCACTGTCACTGCAATCACCTTTCAGGTACTTGAACAGAGCAATAAGGTCTCCCCTTAGCCTCCTTTTCCACAGACTAAACAGCCCCAGTTCCTTCAGTCGCTCCTCATAGGCCATATTCTCCAAGCCCTTCCCCAGCCTTGTTGCCCTTCTTTGGACCTGCTACTGCACCTCAATGTCCTTTCTATACTGAGGTGCCCGAAACTGAGCACAGTATTCAAGGGGGAGCCTCACCAGTGCCGAGTACAGGGGCAGGACGACTACCGTAGTCCTGCTCACTTTTTTGAAGTTCTTGTATGTTTTTACGCAGTTCTCAGTGTCAGGCATATACCAGCATAAAGAATGACCTACTGTAGCCATTCTGCTCCTGTGCAGTCATAGCTAACATTGCTGTCTTACAAATACAACATCCTACTGAGGTAGTTCAGGTTGAAAATGTTGTTGCCATAATAGAGACCAAAAAAACTTCATAATACTTGTGTATAGCAAGAGACAAGTTATTTTCCTTCCTGTTTGTTCTTGAACAATATTATATTTGTTAATAAGTCCAGTTGTCAAAGCTCTTCTACTTAGCTCTGGTTCAGACCATTGCAAATACAGTACTATTCCTCAGACAATTCTGTAGATTCCTGGGATAAATGTTTGCAGGACTTTGCTTTTCCTGAGAGAATAATTCTAAAAGTGAAACCGTTTAGATAATGCAATTTTTTTGAAGTGGTACAAAGCTTCTCTGAGTATTATCAGGACATAAATTAAATGGAGTGAAAATGTTCCAAAATTTGTCCCCTTGCTCAGGGGGTAAACTCCAGCAAATTTCAGTAAAAGAATCTGTACTAGCATTGGGTAGTTCACTGCAAAATACATGCTTGGCTGTAGTTTTCAGTGTAGGTTTCATGGGTGTGTGCTTTTATGTTCAATTAATCACAGTTACGAAGAATAAAGACGTTTCTGTAGCAAAATTACTTGAAACAAAAGTAGTATGATGTTTTCAAAGTAAACATTATTGGCTTCGCGGAGTTAGAATCCTATCAGAGTACTGATGTTAGAAAGCAAACGTTCTCCCCTTTCTTCACTCTCATGATACAGTGTATGTGTAATGAATAAAAATGCATTATACAGCAGAGGCATACTGAACATTTGCACTGTGCACAGCTTTGTGTAAAGGTCAGGCAGTCCAAGATGTGTATTAACTGTAGGCTATGATCTAAATCTTCTGGACTGTATGCAAGAAACTGGTTACGTTGCTTACTTGATTTTTTAAATGGACTTTCTTCATGGTGTATCAGAGTTAACACTGTGTATACAATGACTTTCATTAACTTTAACATCTTGGTAAAAATTGATTAATCAAGTGGTTTCTATGTGCTGATTGTTCCATAACATAATATTTGTAGACACTACAAGTCATGAGAATTCCAGTTTAAATTTGAAAATAATTGTAATATTAGTAGCAGTCTTGCTGATAATGCCGGAACATGTCTGACATAACTGACGTATCTTTCAGGTTACTAAGTACTTTTGTTTGTATGTTTTTAAGTTCAAGAAAATATTTCAATCCTATTTAGTAGTTTTCTTTCTAGGCTTGACTAGGAAAAACTGAATTGATTTCATGAGGTATTAAAAAGAAGGAAAGATTTGATACTTAGTATAAATGCTGTTGCAGTTGGTATGCGTTTCTTTGTATTGGAGGACCTTTACCTTATTCTGCCATGTTGTTTCATCTAAATAAAGTTTTAAATTAGTGTCTGCATTTGTCAAAAGTCATCACATCTGTCCTTAAAGGGATCTCCTATTCCTCTTCTGCCTGTGTATTTTGGTAAGAATTTTCTGGATTTTCTTGAGTATTTGATTTCATATTTCCTCTCAATTGTCCCTAGAAACATTTTCTCTCTTCATAGCATTTTCTGGTCTCATGCCAGAAGAAACTGAAGGCCTTAAAAAGGCTGAGACAAAGTTTTTATAATGGAAAAGAATTTTCTACCTCCTCTTTTTTTTGTGAGATCTCATTTTGAGCTAGAGACAGCATTTGTGTACTCTAAAGAGATCTGTGCTTGATTTTTGGCAGGAAGAGCATAACTGTCTCACAACCAGGCTGTCCTGGCGAGAAGCTTAGATAGTTGCCCTAAAATGTATTGGCAGGATCCCAACACACGTTTCACCAAATGAGAACTTCAGTTACACTTAGAAGAATTTGGCAGCCACTTTATATAAACAAAGCTTTTCTCTACGATTTTTGTGCCAGTCCAATTGCTTGCTTTAGGTTTGTGCTTGTCAGCAAGTAAAATTACTCCAGAAAACCCCTAACAGTGATGTCATATCCTATAAATAAGAGATTTTTTTTTTTTTTTTTTTGCTTAGCTCATGTACAGTTCTCCACAGAAGATAAGAAATCGACAGTATTTGCTGGTTGCATGACTGAGGGGGCAAAAATAGGAACCAAAGCATCAGGATTCCTTTCAGTTATATTCATATATGTCAGTTATATATTGATAATCATAGTTTTCTCAGGAAATCACCAAAAATCAGCAGGCTTGAAAAACACTGTGATGCAACTGCTGCAGAATCTTCTTCCTCCTGTAAGAGCATTAGAAGTTATGTGAGGAGACTGCTTGTCCTCAGGTATGCACTTTTTCCCTGAGCTAGACAGCAGTATTCAAACAAGCTTGCAGTGATTCCAGAACAATTCTTTTTGCTGAACTTTCATTATGGCAGGCCTGGTATTCTTTGTGGTTATCCTTGGTCCTTGATTGGACAAATAGGCAAGTTTTCTCCTTTCACCTCATTACTTAATCTTCCAGCCCTGTTCTTCCCTCAGACTTACTTTACTGTAATCAAGGATGTCTAGAAAAAGGAGTCATAACTAAGTCTCTGCCTTATTGACAGCCATAAAGAAATCCAGGCCCAGAATTCAAGTGCTATTCAGGACATGTTTTAATTCCAAAAGAGTTTGCATGTATAAGCATTTCAGGATTTGTCCCTTCTAGCTGAAATGCGACATTAAAGCTTCTGCCATTTCTCTCAGTAGTAAAGCAGTGCATTTATGGCATCAGCTTTAATATATGAATTTTTAAAGTGGCAAATTTAAGTGGCAGAGCTGGCAGCATGTGTATTGGGGCTAGACATATGTTTGTTAGTATATGTCTTTCTGAATGTGTTTTTGTTAATATACACTACTGATTAAACAGAGTGAAGACTTGTTTGTATTGCAGTGTCACCAGGACATGACAGACAGGATTGAAACGTGCTGTAAGATGTTCTCTGTAAAAATAATTATTTAGAGCATATTTACAAGACATTGATATTCCAATATACTAAGTAAGACAGTTTCCATAAAAAGCAGTTCAAGCTTTAGTTCAGATAGGCAGCATCTATAAAAAGTATCCAAGAGGATTCCCCCTTCCTGGAGGTTTTTAAGATGAGATGGAACAGAGTGCTAGATAATCTCTTCTAGTCACCCTTTTCCATGAAATGTTAGACCAGATGATCTTCTGAGGTCTTTTCCAACCTGGGCAGTTCTATCAATCTGTGACTAGGAGCAGTAAACTGGAAGAATATAATTTGGTCTGTGATGGATATGAGTGTTGTTTGTTGGTAAATACATCAGTTGCAAAGTTTGTATCGACCTGTTGGTAGTATAACACTAAGCATGTGAGGTGCCAAAGATTCTGTCTCTGTGAGTACTATTTGGAAGAGATTGCTTACACTGCTGGCATAACTGTATACATACATATCTAGATGAGAGCAGTTGAACACATACGTGTATATAGATAACCAGTGCCTCTCTGTGGAAAATGCAGTGTCAGAGAAAACCAGAAATTAATTTGGATGGTGACAAGTAAGTCAAGGCTGTTGGAAGTTGTCCTGACTGTCAGTATCTCTCCTATGAAATAAAAATCTTAGGTTGTTTTCATCCTTGTAGGGGAGAGAGGGAACAGGGGAGAAGACCAGGAGTGATAACTTATTGTCAGAATGTATCCTCTTTTTAAAAATAATTTATGTTAAACATCTAAATATCAGTATTTTGTATTTACCAAAGCTCAAATTTAGGTTTTTATTATTGCTATTCTAACACATACTCATTTTTCATATTATGAATAGCTAAATTCCATTCTTTGTTATTCTGAAAAAATTGCAGAACTCTGTCATTAATGAAGTTAATGACCAAACAGTCAAACTTCTCAAGGTCTGAAGATTTCAGAGTGTACTTTAACTTAACTAAACAGATAAACGAAATCATCAATTTTTATGTTTTCTGAGGATATAACAAGTAGGGAGTCATGTAATCTCATTTGGTAGCACTGAAAACCGTTGCTATTTCAGGGAACTTTTAAGCTAAGTACACTCCACTGATGCTTTCTAGATTGTATAAAGATACATACCTCTTTCTAGAACCTTGTTAAAAACTTAGGTCTTCCTTTCTGCTTTGTCTTCCTCCTTTTTTTCTCCTCAAGAAAAACAGGTAATTGTGTGGAAGTAGATCTTTTTTGGTTTTGTCAAATATTGTGGTCACTGAAAGAAATATGAGAATGTCCGTGCCTAAGTTTCACAAGGAATGCATGGAAAATTGCATCATTATATCAAGGAAATGCTGAATGCTTACATGGGCATGACCAGTCAGACCATTTTGTGGTGGGTTTATTAAGTAAATGTTTCCATGGTTTCCAAATAAATTACATTTCCAGCAAGGTAAAATTGCTGCTTACTAGTGCCAAAATAATTGCTTCGATAAGTTTATTTCAGCTTTTATTACAAATAGTATTGTTAATTTGTCTAAAAAATTTGTTTTTCCAGATTATCATTAAGAATTGAGCCAGGTAACAGCTCTCCTCGACTGGTTTCCTCCAAAGAAGATCTGACAGGTATAGAAGTTTATCTCTAAATGTAAGGAAATAATTTTAATTACAGAAGCCCTGTAATGAAGTATATGGGAAAGACCACTGATCAGCTTCAAATATGGATTTTTGTTGCAAATACAGAATTATCTTGTAGGGACTGCTAGAAAATTGATCTCGTTCCATGCATTTGACAAGTTTCAGAGTATCGTCAGACCAGAACACCATTCCTCTTATAATAGTTAAGGATCTGATTTTCACTGCAAGTTTTTACACTGCCAGCCTGTACTTGAGTTAGCATTGTCCTTTGTCTTAAATAATTGTCCTTCATTTGTTATATTTGCTCTTGGATGTTCTTAACAGTGACAAATGTTACCCCACATGTTGGGATTGATTTTGCGCATATCAACTTTCATACGACTGGACAAAGCAAATTCGTTGATCTTGAATGAGTGAAAAATGTTTGATTTCAGAAGTAAGATATAACAGCAAATGAGGAGCATTCTTAAGGGTTATTTGCATTTCTGCAAATAGAAATGGCAGAGAAGCAGCATTTTTGAGATTATTTTTAAATAAGCATCACATTTTTTAATAGGAAGCATAAAATCTTACAGATTTTTTTTTACTTTGATAAAAGCCCTATTACATCACAGCACACGTAGAATTAATCCCTAGAGCTGACCTGTGCAAGTGATGAAGGTGGCCCATATTCATACTGAGGTTTCCCACTAACCTTGTTACCATAGAGGAGTCTACTGCAGGACAATCATTCCCAGTAATATTACTCTGAGATAGGGATTCTTGACTTGTATATTAACAACTGGCATCTGAGGGGAACTCACAGTGCTTGTTAGCACTGGAACAGAGGTTAGATTGGTTGTTTGGCTGGTTTTCTTTTGTTTGTTTTTTAAAATGTTTGCATTTTCATTAGTATTTAATAAGTGAAGAAGGAAGAAGTCTCTTTCAGTAGAGACAAGTGTAGTGAATAACATAGGAAATTCTTTCTGGTTTCTGTATAAAATGACACATCAATCTGAAACAATTACATTGTGTAAATGGGGAAGACACACAGTTGAAAGATTTATATGAATAATATGGTCTGTTGAATAGGTTACTTTAGCTCTTAACTGAAAAAGTAAATCATGATGAGAAGTGCATCTCTAAGAAAGATTTCTTCTAGTGGCTGTGTGTACAACTCTGGTGTCTTTTTGAAAAATTTAGACAGTAGTCAATAATGCTTTGGCTGTGGACATCCTCTCTAATCAGAATATAGGGAAGTAGAAGTATAAAATTAGGTATTTCCATAATCTGAACTCTTGCTCCTAAACATTTATGCAAGGCTCCTTTTCATACTTATTACTGCTGTGTGCATCCACGCACATACAATTCTTAGAATTTCCAATTGGATGGAACATTGAATAAATAATGCTGGGACTAGTTCTCATAGAATTGTAGAATGGCCTGGGTTGAAAAGGACCTCAAAGATCATTGAGTTTCAATCCCCTTGCCATGGGCAGGGTCACCAACCACTAGACCAGCCTGCCCAGATCCACATCTAGCCTTGCCTTGAATGCCTCCAGGGATGGGGCATCCACAGCCTCCTTGAGCAACCTGTTCTAGTTGGGTCATCATCTTCTGAGTTTTCTATAAACTGTTCAAAAAATTAATGTACAGATGAAGAGGAGCATAAATTTCTAAGAGTTAAACAAACATGAAAATATGTAAAATATAGTTATTACTATGGGAACCACTATCACAAAAGCTGTTCAGTTTTAATCCCTTAACCCGAGAGGCCTGTTTTCTGCCTCACTGTGCTAAACCATGTGTGAATGTGTTTAAAAAAAAAAAAAAGAGAGAGAGAGAGAGAAGATTATACTACATCTGACAAGCAATTTAATTTTGCATTCCAAACGTCATTTTTCATAGCAGATGAGAGGGGAGAGAAGAGCAAAGGGGCAGGGAAGAGAGAGTTTGGCTGAGGAAGAGTTTATATGAGGGAGAGAATTGGATTGAATAGGTAATCATATCTGTCTAGGAGTATTAGGAGAGAATTAACTTTTTCTTCTCAATCTACATTGCCCCTTCATGCCCTGTTGCTCTGTTCAGAGTAGTGACTAGAAACCAAATCTTGAATCATTCCTGTTGGTTAGTTCTTCTGTTAGTGTTTCCTTCAAAAGCTTGACATGCTTATGCACTTCTGTTTCTTGCTTAGCTAGAGAGTTCTCATTTACTGTCATTTAGACAATGAGTGCCACCAATATTTTGTAATACTTAAATGTTTTTTTTTTCACCTGAGAGCAAAGATGCTAAAATCCAATGCACTTGAAAAAAAGAAATCAAGCTGATTTCCAAGGAAGATTACCTCAGTGAAATAAGATGAAATGTAATTAAGCATTAAGACAGTGGTGTATTTTTTACTTCACAACATTAATAATTAGATAGCTAATTGTTAATCTTGTTAATCATATAAAATATGGAAATGTTTGTAATGAGTTATTTGACCACATAGAATTAGAAATAGCACATTCTAAGATATTCAAATCAACATTATTTGGATTTGAATTTTGTTCAAGTTATAGTTTAAGATTATTTCCACTTCAACTATTGTACATGAACAGTAAACTCTTTCCAATCAACAAGTTATAATTGTGGGAGATGATCTGAAAAAAGTTCATGCAGTAGTCCAATGTGCTAATCAAAAGCATAGGACTCTGAATGTAGTCATTTTAAGGTAAAATAAAGATTCATGACCTTTGAAGTTCAGTCATTAGTTCAGTCTTTCTGATCGTGGAAAAAGTTAACACACTATTAATACTCCAATTCTGTGGTTGAGTTCTATGTGTGAAATACTTCATACAGGCTGCCGTATATTTCCAAGGAAGGAGAAAAGCTCAGTACTGTAGTAACGAGTACTTAGTTGATAATGAATTAAGTGGCAGGAAGTAGTATCTTCTTCATGTCCTGAAGCATAACTTGTATTGATTATAGAAATGTTTTCCTTCTCAGCACTGTGTCTTCATCTTTTACCTAACCTCTCTTTCAAAAGATTAGGAGTTTATTCTATCTAGAAACATTGTGGGTTTCTTTCTTCCTGTTGAAGTATCTGAAGGAGTGTGAAGCTCAGTAAAAGCAGTTATATCCATCTGTATTTCTGTTTGCAAAGTACTGGAGAAAACCATGTGTTCCTTTTCCATGTTGGTTGCCAACTGGTTTTCCAGTAAATTTTGAACAGGAGGCAAACATCTGATTAAAATGAATGTCTCACAACAGGCTATGTTTTGTGTATTAGTGGCTACGATGGTCTCACTTAATTGCCAGATGTATGTGTAACTGTGAATAGCGCTTTCACAGAATGATTTCATGCCTACCATAACACTGTAGAGATTCTTGTTATTTGCAAGTAGCATTTTAAAAGGAGCTTTAAACAGTTCAATTGTATATTTTGAGGAACAGTGTGATTCACACAGCTTCCTTGGCAGTGACTTAAGTCTGTTCGTTCTGCCTTGCTGTGGAGAGAGGCAGTGGGGAGAAGGAGGGAGAGAGGAAGGCAGGAGGGAACAGGGGGAGAGAAGGTGGGGAGGAAGGGGGGAAGGAGGAGGGCTACAGCATGCAAACTGTTCAAAGTTTCCAGTTGAATTAGCTGTAAAAGACATCTGTGTTCCTGCAGTGTTGGCTAGGACTTGCTAAGCATTTATGGTACAACTATTAAACAGATTATTTTAGACAGTATAACTCAATATATTTTCCTAGAACTGAAGAAAGGATCTAATGAAATACAAATAAGCTATCTTTCTAAGCAACTGATGTTTCTTAGAATGTGTATATTGAAGAGTAGATGAGTATAGAAAGCTTTATTTATGTTCTTTATCAACTTAATTGAAGGACTGAGAAGGACTTAGGGGTCCTGGTTGATGGAAAACTTAATATGAGCCAGCAGTGTGTGGTTGCAGCCTGGAAGCCAATAGTATTCTGGGTTCTATCAGAAGAGGGGTGACCAGCAGGGCAAGGGAGGTGATTGTCCCACTCTGCTCTGCCCTCATGAGACACAGCTGGAGTATGGTGTCCAAGTCTGGGTCCCCCAACACAGGAAAGATGTGGAACTTTTGGAGAGGGTCCAGCAGATGGCCACAAAGATGATCAAAGAGCTGGAGCACCCCTTTCCAATATTTAAAGGGAGTTTATAAACGTGAGGGTAGATAGTGATAGGACAAGGGGGAGTGGTTTTAAACAAAGGAGAGAAGATTTGGATTAGACATCAGGTGGTAGTTTTTTACTGTGAGAGTGGTGAAGGACTGGAACAGGTTGCTCAGAGAGGCTGTGGATGCCCCATCACTGTAGATGTTTAAGGCCAGATTGGATGGGGCCCTGGACAATCTGATCTAGTACTTAATCTAGCTGTTGGCAACCCTGGATTGGAACTTGATGATTCTTGGTTCCAACCCAAGCCATTCTATGATTTCTATGATTAATGTTATTTTGAAAAGCTCAGAGCTCACGTAGTAATCAGAATATAGAAAGTGGTTACTTGCTGTCTGAAATAAACCACATTATCCTGTCCTGGAATACAACTATGGAAAGATAAAATAATGTTAATTACCATGTCCAGGAAATTATCTCTCAAATATTAAGTGAGTGACTTGATATTTCCGTGTGCTTTAACTAACCGCTTCATTAATGTTAGCATATAGAAGGCAACAGCTAGGCCTCAGCAGTGGGCATCTTTATTTTTTTTGTTATGTCTTAGTCAGGTCCAGCTTCTCACCCCTTCCTTTTTTTTTTTTTTTTTTTCTTTTTTTGTGTGTGTGTGTGTGTGTGTGTGTTTTAGTTTGATTTCTTTTTTTTGTTGTTGTTGTTTTTTCCTAAGGATACTACAGTATAATTCTTTAGAGGAGATTAAGTAGACCAGAGGTTTTACCTTACTGCCCTAGCAGAATATGGAGCAATTAATCTGAAACCACTGTATTTTAATTTTTTGTTTTTGGGGTGGAATTCAGCCCATTGCATTGAGTTCATTCATCTTTGAGAGT